TTTATTAATAATCAATGTTATAAAAATTAAAACAAAAAACCCGTCAACTTCGAGTCCAGTCGTTTTTTCTTTTCGCTATGTGGCGCCAATAGGATATTCCTAGCGTAGCCAGGTTCTTCTTCACCTGTTTCTTCCAACGGAGTGGAGGATTTCCCCTTCCTCTGCTTCCCCCGGCGGGTGCACCGTCGAATACTTTCAGACCTGGAGTGTTTTCGTCCATTCGGACAACATGAACTAGCCAGCGTAGCCGCTGCTATGGTACCCTTCACAAATGCAAAATACAAAATATTGTTGGTATGACAGCTACATGTTCTAGTAATTCAATCTGAACAAAATGTTCAGAGATCCCATATTCGGGGATTGAAGACCTATCTTAGGTAATCATCCATGCCAAATTTTATTAAGATATCTTGGCAAATGAAAAAGTTTTCCCATAGAAGAACTTAATCCCGATCTCCAGTTTGTATGAGAGATATAACGTCGAGTGGTCCGATATTGGCGGTTCCGTCGAAATTTCAGAGTGATATCTCGAAAACTGAGAGCATACATTATGATACAAAAGAACGCAATACATTTAATTATTCATCAATATTTATTTTATCGTTTTCAAAGTTATCTCCACCAAATGTAATATACTTATGCCAACGATTTTACCAGTCCTCTTTTTGGGAAGCCCTTCAGCACCTTCAACGAATTTTGTTTTATCTGTTCGATCGACTGAAAACAGGTTGCACGGAGCGACAATTCCAGTTTGGGGAAGAAGAAAAAATCGCACGGAGCCAAATCTGGTAAATACGTTGGTTTATCGATGATACTCATTGCGTTTTTGGCTTTAAATTCGGTCACAATCACAGCTCGACGTGATGGTGCATTATCATCGTGTAAAATCCATGAATTGTCCTTCAACTATTCCGGCCGTTATCGACGAAAATTTTTACGCAAACTCCTCAACACGGCCAAATAAAACTCCATATTGAAAGAATGTCCCTTTGGAACAAATTCATGATTCACCAAACCACAAATATCGAAAAAACCATGAGCATCACCTCGATATTTGACCGCCTTTGGCGTGGTTTTTTGGTTTCGACGCGCTTTTCCCTGCAATCCGATGATTGTTGACTTGCTGTTATCATCGGGAGTTATAATGCTCTCCATGAATGTGGCATCGGAATTCACTTGATCATGTCCAAAAGACTTGTTTGCGGTGCTTTTTTAGAAAAAACCTCAAAAGATTGTACCCAAAATATCCACAAAAATCTTTCGAACGGACTATCAGGAGACGTAGAGCTCTCTTGCCATCTCTCTAACACTTGCCTGATGATTTTCAAGCACCATATCGTTCACAATTTTAATAATTTTATCAGTTGAAGAGGTGGAGGTCCAGAACAAGGTGTACATATCTTCAACGATCTCTCCACCGTCTTTGATGGCTTTCTACCACTCGTAGGCTTATGATTATGATAAATTAAACTGAAATTACTCAGCTCATCATGCTTATCATTTGTGTACACACTTTGCAAGGCCCCTTTTGGGTGTTAGAGACTTCGTGACAAACTTATTATCCCCTATTCAAGATAAACACACCAATATATTAAATATGTTTCTACTAAAGATTTTTAATCACACATCTCATAAAATAATAACTATAATATTACGCAAAGCCGCACTCAATTGATTAAAAATCCATCCGCTTTCTTCGTCACAGAAATTTTTTGCAATTCTCAGCATATCGCTGGTAGCGAGCCAACTAGTTAACGCCGACGTTAGCCATCTGTCCAACAACCAGTATCTACCACCCAGTCAAGATGCGCATCACCTTTCGGTCGACACTGCTATTGCGCCCTATCAACCACCGGCTCAACAACAACAAGAGCAACAGGAATACCAACACCCCCAGAAGAGCTTTCTTTCCAATGGGGTTGAGATTACCAGATCAATTCCCATCGCTAGCTTTTCGCTAACCAACATTGTGCCGGAACAACAAACAAGTTATGCGCAAGTTCCCGTTTACGCTCCTGCGCAATCGTACGCTCAAAGTGGAGCTGGCTCTTTCAACTATCAAGCGCCACAAAGTAACTATCAGCCACAACCACAGCAACAGTCAGGACTTCAACAATCTGCTGGCTCATACAACTATGGCTCGCCTGCACCAGCACCACTTCCAGCGCCGGCTCTAGTACAGCAATCTTACTCTGCCCCCGCACCGGCACCGGCTCGTGCTGCAGCTCCCGCACCTCAACAAACATATTCCGCACCAGCTCCAATAGAGCAAAATTATGTTGCTCCTGCTCCAGCACCTCAATATAGTTCCGGACAACAAAATGATGGATCTTATAACTACGGTTCTCCAGCACCAGCACCCGAACAACACTCGTATGCATCGCCTGCTCCAGCACCGGCGCCAGCACAAGCTCCTGTGCACCAAGCACAGTTGTCGGGCCCCTCATTTTTTTCAGGCGGACAACAAAATGACGGTTCTTACAGTTATGGTGCCCCAGCACCAGTAGCAACACCTATTCAAAACTATGAGTCACCAACTCACTCTGCATCACCAAGCCCATCTTATTCTGGTGGACCTCAACAAAGCTATTCGGCACCACCTCAACAATCTTACTCAGCACCTACTCCAGCTCCAGCGCCCGCTCCGGTTCCTGCACCACAATCATACTCTGCCCCAGCTCCAGCCGCTCAAGTTTCTAACGAATACTTACCGCCAGGTCCACAGCCAGGCAGCTACAACCCCCCAGCACAGCAATCCTACGCTGCACCTGCTCCAGCTCCAGCGCCCGCTCC